GACGATAGATGTTTTATATCAGGATATGAGATTTTGGTCATATCACACAGCCCTAACCTTTAGTTCCCTCTAACTCAGGGGTGTCAAACTCCAGGCCTCGAGGGCCGGTGTCCTGCAGGTTGTAGATATCACCCCAGGTCAACACACCTGAATCAAGTGATCAGTTCATTACCAGGCCTCTGGAGAACTCAAGACATATTGAGGAGGCAATTTAGCCATTTAATTAGCTGTGTTGGATCAAGGAAACATCTAAAAACTGCAGGACACCGGCCCTCGAGGCCTGGAGTTTGACACCTGTGCTCTAACTGATCTGAATTGACCTTGAGACACATGTAAAAGCTGCTCTTATACTGCATTTATAAATTGCATTGCTATTAGATCATCTGGAGTGTGACTCCATAGTGTAGTGGATACCTGCTGGGGATGGATATTCCTTTTGGTTTGTGTCATCCAGGGAAAGTCTGACAAATCAAAGGTACAGACCTACTGTGTGTTTGACCTGCTGAGGTATCTAATAAAGTCAGTATGAAATTAATGTCTGACTATAACCGTGTATAAGACAGCTTTAAGCATTTTGACACCAGGCTGAATGATGTATATCACAGATGTCAGACTGCACGGTCACGTGTGGTGCTGAGCTGTGGACTGCTCGTGTGCATTATGGACTCATCTCTCACTGTGTTAAACATCCACTACTAATCCACTGGCTCACTTTAAAAACGATCTTGATGGCCTGCATGCATCTTCTGTTACAGTCCCCCCATGGCACTGAAAGAGAAGTTCCTACAAATAAATATGTAATGAGGTCAACTGCAAAAAATAGCTACGTCCAAGGGCCAGATTTACTAACGCTCTGCACCACAGCACAACACGCTTTTTACGTTAAAAAGCTCCTGTCAGGGTTTCATGAAGAGGCCAGTATTAGTTTGGAACTGACAGGTGTGGATGCAGTTATTGTGTCAGCATCGAGGCACTTTATTCATTTATTTATTTATTTATTCATTTATTTATTTATTTATTTATTCATTTATTTATTCATTTATTTATTTATTTATTCATTTATTTATTTATTTATTTGTAGGAGTTTCAGAGAATATTTAAATCAAACATAAAAATGTGATTCATGCAAGTTTGGGCAGGCATGAAAAGTTTAAGAGCTGTACAGACATACATCATTAACATGTTCTTTTATCAACACACA